TTATTCATGTACTCCACCACATCACGGTTGATCTCATCCAGGAACGAGACGAAACCCATGACGCTCGTGATGCCACTCCCCTCAACATCCTGCTCCTCTATAAGGTAATTTTCGAACACGGTTGCATCATCTTGCCCTCCCCTGATAAATATGAGTTTAGGGGTGACAATCCGCCCTTGCTTCAGTTTGTTAATGGTGGTTCTCAGAAGGCCTGGGTAAGACAGATGTTATCACTTCTAAGTAAGCACAACAAAATGTTCTGGGTATTCCAATACAACAGAGGAATGGGAAAAATAACCAAATTATCCCCGAGGTTTGCCCTATTGTAAAATGTTCAATTCTATTCTTAGAGGTAATGAAAATATACAGATGGCCTTTGTATGACAAATAATTTCTGTAATTGTGCAAAACCTCTAAGGTCGTATCACAATTCATCCATAGAGAGAAGGCAAACTTACAGTTCTGAGGTGGAGGAAAAGGAAGTGCAGAGTCAGCTGTAGATGAATAGAACACAATGAGAGTTGTGAAGGCATCAAGTAAAAATATCGGGCTACCACTTGTTAGTAATGCAGCACGACTCAGCGAATGGCGAGGAAATGCTTGTCTATCCGGTGTTTCATAAGATGCCAGCAATGGGTATATGGCAAGGGCGAGTGAAGAAGGTTCCAGAGCACTGCATAAAAATTATGGTGGTTAGGTTCAGAAATGTATGATAATGCTATAATATGGTCAACAGAGGACGATCACAAGTGGAGGTTGATGGGTAGCTGTGAAATTAGGCAGAAGAACAAAATGATGATGCTCATGTATGAACTGGGAGGCCGAGATTAAAGAGGAAATAATTGCAGTCCATATGTATAATGCAGTGAAAACATATTGATGAGTTCCATGCATATGCACAAATGCTAAAAGAAACGTACTGTCATAGGGAAAATCAATATATTGCAATTCCAGTTTATGTATACTTTAATGTTGAGTCATTGTCAATCAGTTTCTGTAAAAGTTTCTATGATGGAGTAGCGTGACCCAAGAATACCTTAATAAGGATCATACATGTAAATGAAAAGTTAACTACATAGTCAGTAAAATCCCTATTAGTGTTATATGGGACGCAATAAAAAAACGTTGTGGTATATCATTGTGGGAAGGAGGTAATAAAAGTTTTACACAGCTACCAAATGTCATAAAATGTGGCGAACAATATTATGAAGTGTTTAATCTACGTAACCAAGCAGCCATACAAAAAAAGGCCCTAACCAACATAAAAACTAAAATTTTACACATCACAAACACGCAACTACAAATGACAGCATAAATTCTACAAAATTGTTTACCTGAATAGACATTGAAGATAGATCCGATAGTCTGGATGGACACCTTCTTCATGAAAGCGAAGAAGAGGATTTCGGAGCAAAGCAAAGACTAAACGGGGCAAATGTTGCAGCTGAGGGCACTGGGTGAAGGCAACATCAAACTGAGATGTCGTTAAACCCCCTCTCTTGTACTCAGCAATCTTAAAAGTATCATTATACTGAGCAGTTAGATTTACAAGCCACTCGTGTAGCAGGATTCTACCCTCTCTAACTCCATTCTCCAAAGAGGACAAAATAACCTGAAATTGCACATCAAAACCCAATTCAAGTCAAGGGCAGGACCTAGAAGTTGACTCTACCGTAGAAATGCACAAACTAAGATGTGGTAGGTGCAATTGAATATGGGCAAAAGAGCATTTTTTTCATTCTCTAAATAAAAATTGCACTATTCATTTTTCCCACTTTTTCTCTCCATTTTCTCAATACTAGTTTTTAAATAATTAACAATGATCAATACAAATTACGGTATAAAATTTACTAATCACCCCTCACATATTTTTAACTATCAACCATTATTTTAACATTTCTCCATCACATCACCTTTAATTATTACTTTTTCATCATACATCATTTCATGTTATAAAAGTAATAATTCTTCCCAGAAATCTTCATTTCTAGAGAGGAAAAAAGAAATAAAAAAAAAAAATGAAAGCATATCCAACTGCACCCTTAACCCTCAATGTGATTGTGATTTGTTGGGAACCCACGGTGTTTGAGAAGCAAAGATAAATTAATATTCAACGTAACCTGTCAATGAAATGCAAAAAAGAAAAAATGCACTTCCAATTATGTTCTACAAAGCTTCACTATACTATAACTTTATTATGTAATTACATATATTACAAATATATAATTATATATGTTTGTAAATGAAGAAAAAAATTCCAACATAAAACACTGGCACATAATGATACACCACCAAGAACAAAGCAGGCAATAACAAATGCATTGGGCACTCTAGTCTGCTTAGGGCTAATTACAATGGCTCAAGTTTTTAATGAAGACGATGCAACTTTCTGCTACTCTCAGTTTTAAGAAAGACTCGGTAATATTTAACCTAAACCTTCAGGTATTTGGAATTTACCTCATGAACAAGTATAGAGAGAACAACTTCAGGATCAACACTATCATAAATTTCACTGATATTGCGAGCCGTATCGAGTTGTACAGTTCTGATCCTCAGTCTCCTTTTCAGAGAGTACTTATCTCTGCATAAATGAAACATATATATGAAAATATACAAAATACTGTAGTGTGCAAAGCCAGCAACATTGGTGATTGTGAAGATGCGACAGCCGACAGCAACCGAAAATGCAAAGAGAGTTGATGCAAAAGTAAACTACGCTCTTGATTTGGTTAAGGTACAAGGAACACCTTAATAAAATAATAACTCTTTTCCCGTTGAGTTCCAGTGTTGAAGAAAAGAACTACGGGTAGACACCAAAAATAACATGATGTTCATTTCCCATGGTTTCGTGTTCGACGTGTTGTCTTGTGCACAAAATTACCAATAAACATTTCTAAAGATGGTCAGGATCAAGCTTCTATGCTTATTATTTCCTAATCACCCAGTGGAATATCAAAGTTCCACAAGGTTGTGTAGGCAAAAAGAATTCGAGGAGCGTATCCGATATCCACTCCAAGTTGAGTACCGGAACAGAAAACTCAATATCAATATTGCATTCTGACAAAAGTCAACTTAAATAGATTTTTCTCTTGTTATTAGGTAAAAAATGAGAAGTCAAAGGCATTAGACTTTTTCCTCTGTGAAACTAAAGTACTACTGCATGTGGTGATATCAAACCAAGGACACTCAAGGCACTTGGAGACTGTTTGAAATAGATTGCCCGTATGAGGCACATCACCATTCATGTCACACAAATGATTCTTATTTTAAATGCAATGATCAATTCAGCTCGTGAACCAGCCAAGGAGGAACAAAATATGCCTATTCAGAACAGTTCAAAGGTGAATAAAACTAATGATACAATCAAGCACCACTCCTTTCACTATTGGATTTAGTGACCCGGTGTAATATCCTCTAAATTAATGATAGTAAGTCACAGGACTTGTAGATTCAGGAAGAAGGCCCTAATGTTGGCTGTTGAATATAAAAATTGTACGGCCATTAATCCTCCTTAATTATGGGAATAAGCAGCGTTTTCATCGCGAATACATTTTTCAGGTCAGCAATAAAACATACACAGCCGAATGTATTTTTCAGTAATCTACAATGTGCGACAACTGCAACAAAAGAAGCATACCTCTTTGAAGAGCCTGAACCCAATGGTAAGGGTTCGTCGGAAGGCACAATAACTGAGTACTGAAATGCAATTTGTAATGTTGGGCGTTCCCGGCTGTGTCTGTAGAAAAATCACCTATTTATCTGATTTTAGAAGAAAAAGAACATTGAATGGCATATAGAGGATTAAGTTTAGAAATCACTATCAAGTCTTCTGCCAAGCTTCAGAAAATCTATTCACCACAGAACTATTTTTCTTACCAAATGGATTCTCTACTTATTTGGTACCCAAAACACAAGAGAAGCAAAACATTTGTCAGCAAATGCAAGAGAATTTAAAAAAAAAAAAAATCGAAGAATAAGAGGAAGAAAATCTCTTTTGAGAGTCATATACTCCTATAAGCCACCCCAACCCCTCGAGAATGGGAGGGGAAAAGGTGGTATATCTGAGGAACTCTCAAACGTTTACACCATAATCATATTCCATTCTAAATTTGATCATAAGGTGGAAGACAAAAAGAAGTTCAGGATGTCACTGCGTCGCTGGAAGACAACAAACTTGACATTACTATGGAGGAGGCAGAATATATTTAACATAAGAAAGCAGAACACCACAAAAATGCATTTTTTGACTGAAATCATCATGACTGGTCAATTGATACAAAAAGTTTCAGACTAAATGAAGGGTAAGTCTAGTAGCAAGATCCAGAAGCGACCATGACTATAATGCTAAAGGAAAAATTAAATGAAAAAAAAAAAATGGAAGCACTTCTCTTACCTGGAAAATCCAGCATCATTAACAAATTCAAAGTCATAAGCATATGTGGCGAAAGAGTCGCAGCATAGGATGTGCTGAACATTTTCATATTCTTTTTTTTTTTTTCGGTACAATGAAGGGGCCGAAGCCTAGGCTAGTACTCGACGAGGGTATGACACCCCTATGAGGTCGTGCTCGAGCCACTGACCCATACCACTGGGGGGCGAGGTGACTCTCTGAATTCCAATCGGGCAAGATGCCGCTAGCCCCGCCATAAAGTCCGCTGCGAAATTCGCTTCCCTATGCACATGTTGAATTCTCACAGTCCATTCTCTTTGGACCAGATCACGAATAACCCTAACCATGGAACCATTTGTTTCATTACTTTCACCACTACGTACCATAGTCGCCACACATAGGCTATCGACCTCTGCGACCACTTGTCTATAGCCCATGTCCCACGCCAAATGTAGGCCTTGGAAAAGACCCCAGAGTTCAGCTCCCGTGATGGTGCAATGCCCAATGTTCATAAGAAAGCCCACTATCCATCCACCCATGTCGTCTCTTAACAAGCCACCCGCACTACTCAACTTCATTTGGTAATCGTGGGCCCCAGCTGTGTTAATTTTAACCCATCCCACTTCTGGAGGGGTCCATCGGATCATGCCCGTAATGTGCACAGTAGCACCAGCCCTTACATATGCCTCCTCTGCCCGTGAGTAGCCTTCGGCCACCTCCATAACTTCAGTTCTCCTAGCTTCGGCCGAGTGCGTTGTATTCTCGAATATCCTCTCATTGCGCCATTTCCATGATTTCCACACCGCAATGGAGAAGATACAGCTCCAACTTGCGGTCGCATCTCTCCTCCGCTGCATGAGGTTCTTGCGGATCCAAGTTTTCAGTGGTAGGCGGAAGAAAGATCCATCATGGTTGGCCGGTAGCAGCCTTTCCCATAGGGGTTTAACATACGGGCAGTCTCGCACTACGTGGGTAACTGATTCGCTTATCCCACAGAAATCGCAATCTGCTATACTCGTAATGTGCCGTCTCACGCGTTCCGCATTAGTGAGGATTCGTTCTTTAGCTACCAGCCATAAGAGAGTACGGGCTTTTTGCGGTGCCGGCGCCCTCCAAATAGTTTTCCATAATGGTTGGTCGAGGTCTTTCTCCACTTTCGATAGGGCCCTATATGCTGATTTTGTCGTGAATTTCCCGTCATCTGAGAGACCCCAGATTACGCGATCCTCCCCTGCCATTTCGCTTGGTGGAAGTGTACCTGCTATATGTAGGATGATAGATGAGGGGAGCAGGCCATGAAAAGCGTCCCATTTCCATCGACCAACACCATCAACGTAATCTGCCACTTTCAAGTTTATAATGGCCGAATGCAACTCGGAGTTGACGTATCGTACCAGCGGGCCAAAAGCGTCGAGCCAAGAATCAACCCAAAATCTGGCCGTTTCACCATTGCCTACCACCCATCGCGCCCCGCTGACTAGCTTGGGCCATAGTTTGCTAATTGCACGAAAAAATCCCGATCCTTGTCTCATCGGGAGTGATGCCAGGTTAGTCGAAGGATTTAGGCTATACTTGGCCATGATCACTTTCACCCAGAGAGGTGTTGGATTCGTCAAGAGTTCCCATCCCATTTTCATTAATAAAGCCGAGTTCATACTTCGGAGATCCTTGACCCCCAAACCTCCCGCGTCTCTGGGTTTACATACCTCCTTCCACGCTACAAGATGCATCTTCCTTCGTCCCTCGGTTCCACCCCACACGAATGCACGACTCCTTTGTTCAAGCCCTTCTGTAATGGCACCCGGTAGTGTAGCGGTTTGCATAGCGTAGATAGGCATCGCATTGAGAACTGACTGAGTAAGGGTAACTCTTCCCGCTAAGGACAAGGATTTCATCCGCCACCCAGTTAGTCGTGACTCGGTTTTTTCTAAAATATGGTTAAACATATCTTTGGTCACTCGCCTATGGGCAACTGGTACTCCCAAGTACTTGCCTAGATTGTCCGTTAATTTGAAATTGAGGGCTCCCGCCAATCGCACTTGTTCTCGGGCTTCCACATTTCTGGAAAAAAAGACTTGAGTTTTTCTCGAGCTCACCTTGAGTCCGGACCGAAGGCAGAAGCCATCAAGAACTTGTTTTAGTACAGTAGTCTGGGCATCCGAAGCCTCCAAGAAAAGAAGAAGGTCGTCCGCAAACATAAGGAATGGGACATTGACGGCTCCTCTTACGACCGAAATCGACCGCCATTCACGTTCTTCGACTGATTTACAGATACATTGTGCCAGTCTCTCCATGCAAAGTACAAACAGGTAGGGTGACATGGGGTCCCCCGGTCTGACTCCTCGAGTCGGTCAGAATTCCTCTCCAATCGTCCCATTCCACAGCAAGCTCATCGACGCAGAGGTGATGCATGCCATGACCGCTTGAATAAACTTATCCGGATAGTCTGCTAGATGCATGGTTTCTTCAATAAAATCCCATCGAAGATAGTCGTAGGCCTTTTCGAGGTCCACCTTAATCACTATGAACCCTTTCGCCCTTCGTTTCATCCGCATGGAGTGGATTAATTCTTGTGCAACGACAATGTTGTCTGTGATCTTACGTCCCGGGACGAAGCTGGCCTGAGCTGGGTGTATTAAATTTGGCAAAGTCTCCTTCATCCGGTTCACCAAAATTTTAGTGAAAACTTTGTATATCACATTCAGCAGGCTAATGGGTCGGTATTGCCGGATTGTCGTAGCATGCTCCGTTTTAGGTATTAAGACCAGCAACGTGCGATTAACATTGGTCGGGACGGTCCCCATGCGCCACATTTGTTTGACAAAAGTACGAAAGGTCGGGCCCACAAGTTCCCAATTTTTTTGAAAGAACAGCGCGTTTAATCCATCCGTGCCCGGCGCTTTTAGGGGTCCCATGTTGTGGAGAGCTGAATGGACCTCCTCATTCGTTATATCATTCTCCATGGAACGCATGATGTTGACGTCACATGTTGGGAAAAGGTTTATCGGATTGTATAGAATAGCTGGTGCTGGCCCAGCCGTGTAAATGCTTTTGAAAAACTCTGTAGCTAGGAGACATAGGGATGCCTGGTCCGTTACTTGGTTCCCCTCGTCATCTGTTAACTCTGTAATTTTTTTACGTCGTCTTCGGTACTTGATTTGTCTATGGTAAAAGGACGTATTCCTATCGCCGAGGTAGGACCACTCTC